GTGCTTTAAGTTTTAGGAGTTCAGGATACACACTTTAAATGAACCAGGGAGTGCAAAACTATTAATTTCTTGTTGAATAGGCAAAAATAAAAAAATTGAGTTGTTTGCTTCTTTGGAAGCAGCAACATACTTACTTAATAAAGTTTACACTAAGTAGGTCTCTAGAACGCCATATGAGATATGGAAAGGACGTAAGCCTAACCTTAAACATATTAAAATTTGGGGTTGTCCAGCTTATGTTAAGAGACTGCAGTCTGATAAACTTGACTCATGATCTGATAAGTGTAGGTTCATTGGTTATCCCAAAGAAACAATGGGATATTATTTCAATCACCTTTCTGACCATAAAGTGTTTGTGGCTAGAGGAGCAACCTTTTTTGAAAGGAAATTTCTTTTAGAAGGAAATTATAGTGGAGAAATAGAACTTGATGAAGTTCAAGAAACTAATGAATCAACACAAAATCAAGATCATGAGACACAAGTTGAAGAACCTTTATTGGATATTTTAAAGTTGACAAGGAAGTTGTCATATTCAACGGTTGAAGTTCAAGAACTAAATGTAGTTCAAGAACAGGTTAATGAACCAGTTCCAAACCAAATTAAATAACAACTAAATCCAGCACAAGGTGAGCAAGTTATACAAACACCTCTTAGAAGGTCTACACGATAACGTTATGTGCCAACTAGATTAAATCTAATAGTACAAAATGATGTATCAAATGAGGTTGATCATAATGATGATGATCCTAAGACCTATGAAGAGGCTATACAAAGTTCTGACTATGAGAAATGGCAAAAGTCCATGGAATTCGAAATTTAATATATGAAGGAAAATAAAGTATGGACTTTAGTTGAACCTTCAAATGATATAAAACATATAGGTTGTAAATGGGGTTTTAAGAAAAAGATTGGAGAAGACAAAAATATGGAGTCCTAAAAAGCCCGTCTTGTTACCAAGGGATATCGTCAGAAAGAAGAAGTCGACTATTATGAGACTTTCTCTCCTGTGGCAATGCTCAAATCAATTCGGATTTTGCTTGCTATAGCAGCATACTATGATTATGAAATATGGCAAACAACTTTTCTTAACGGTGAGCTAGAAAAGGATGTGTACATGACACAACCTGAAGGTTTTATATTTTCGTCTGATCATAATAAAATTTGCAAGCTAAAGAGATCCATATATGGACTAAAGCAAGCTTCTCGAAGTTGGAATATTCACTTTAACAAGACAATTGAAAAGTTCAATTTTGTTAGATGCGAAGAAGAGCCTTGTGTGTACAAAAAGGTTAGTGGGAGCGCAATTATATTCTTAATATTGTATGTTTATGATATATTGCTCATCGAGAATGATGTACCAGCATTGCAAAATACCAAGATTTGGCTATCTGAACAGTTCTCTATGAAAGACTTGGGAGAAACAGCTTATATATTGGGAATAAAGATCTATAGAGATAGATCTAAGAAGTTGCTTGGGCTTTCCCAGTCTTTGTACATTGATGTCATCTTAAAGAGGTATACATGGATAATTCCAAAAGAGGCTATCTACCGATAGGCACTGGAATTACTCTCAGTAGGGAGGATTGTCCTAAAACACCTGAAGAGAGAGAACGCATGAGTAGGATCCCATGCGCTAGTGCAATGGGAGCTATCATGTATACCATGACATGTACACGTCCTGATGTGGCTTATGCACTAGGAGTGACTAACCGATATCTGAAAAATCCTGGTGAGGAATATTGGAAGGTGGTGAAGACCATTCTTAAGTACTTAAGAAGGACTAAAGACTAACTTCTCATTTATGTAGATTCCGAGTTAAAACTTGAAGGTTATAATAATGCAAGTTTCTCTTCGGATAGGGATGATAGCAAATCTATTTCTTGAAGGTCACCACATACTTTTTTTCTGCACGTATAAGACATTGGCAATAGTTGGAATATGCTCTTGTGACTCTCGTGTGCATTTTTTGAGGTGGTGTCTACTGGTACTAAACATGACAGCTTAGTGTTGCCGGTTACAATGATTCTTTGTTTAGACTTCGTATAACCACCATATGTTTGCTTTGCATCCAAGGTTAACTGAGTTTGGTAAGTATGTCCACCTTTTAGTTGTAAATGGAGTTGCAAAATTGATATTTTTCCTCCTAGAAGTCCAAAATGAAATCATGCCTGTAAGAGTGTGTCTTTGTGCATGTCGTTAGGGATACAGTAGATATGTCCTACATCCAATATCACATTTGATGATTTGAACATATTTTTGTGAACGTTATTTGATATAAAAATATATGACATTTGATATTCTTTTATCATAGTTATTATTAATTACTTGATTAATTTAATAAGGTCCTTGATTAAATTTTGAGACTTGTCATCGTGATGGAGATCATGATAATGAGAGTAAAGTCTCTTACAATTTAATCTAAACTTTGTTCTTGATCGTAGGATTATTAATTTGGACATTAGTAATCCGGTTAGATCAATATTTATGTGATCGTCTTTATGTGATAAAGATTAGTTGACCTCATTAACTAAATTACATAGATAGATGATGCATATAGAGATATGATCATTGAACCGACTCATTGGATATTTCCTAATAGTTAGAATTACCATAAACTGTCAATAGGATATTCTCTTGAAGAATGTGATGTAAGAGTTTCCTTTGACCTGCGATCGTCATAGTAATTGACAAGTTATTTATTGTGCTTTGATACCAGAGACCTATGGCCCTAGGGCGATAGTTGAAAGGATATTGGGTACGATTAAATGCTTGTAGAATTGTTGATTGATCAAGATAGAATCTGTCAACTCTTGGTAATGAGTTTAAGCTCCATGTTGTCATGAATTATAAATGACCAAACTAAGACCTTGGCTAGGGCGATTGAATGAAAGAAAAAATGAGTTTCTTAGGTCATTCAATGGTCGATTATATTTGACATGAACACATAATTGGTCGCTTATTAGGATTTGACAGTTGAACCATATCCTAGGGTGACTTAGAGCTATATGGACAGAAGAAAATATTGTTTTATTCTTCTACTGGTTCTTGAGAGTAAATTGTATACTTCATTCAATCCGGTCATTAAGGAGTGTTGTTAGACGCCACCCTTGATTAGTATATTGATATGATTAATTTACTACCAGTTTAGTATTGAACCTATGTGGTCACACACTAACGAGTATTCTGATCTTTGCTAAAGGATTTATTAACTTATTATTTGACAATTGAATTAAAGAATTTAATTAGTCAAATAAATAAAGTTATTAGTCCAAATGAAATATTATTATACTCTTTGCTAGCACATGAAATATAATTAATATTGTGAATAAATTGAAATTTTCTATTTAGAATAGAATAAATTATATCTCTTGATTGAAATATATATGTGATATATATTTGATACTCATAACTAATATTTATATACATATATATTTATATGTATATAAGAATATGTATATAATATTAATGGAAGAGTCATAAACCAAATCCAAAATTGGATTTACGTATAGTCCAGAAGGACTCGTCGGCCACTAAGTCCCATTGTGAATGGGATTTGTATTTTTCAATAGTAAATTATGGAAAAATTTGTTTAGAACCACCGCCTTTTGTTTTCCTTAATTGACTTGGGAAAGATTAGGTGATTGGCTATATATATGTCACCTATATATCGCGGCCAAGGTTTTTTGATTCACAAGAAGTGCCGCACAGTCGAGAGAAATAAATTCTTTTTCTTCCCCAACAGAGAAAGGGGAAACAAGGTCAGTCTCACATAGTCCTCCGAAATATTCGTATAATTGTATGTATCTGTAATCTCCAAAAAATTATGTATGTGTCTTGCAGATGAGGAGGGCAGTGCCTAGCCCAATATAAATACGAAGGCAGTGTTTAGCCTTACCATTAAGGAGAGCGGTGCTTAGCCCTATACAAATAGAAAAACAATGCTTAGCCTTGCAAATAAGGAGGAGTAGGAATACTGAAAGGACGAATGGAAGTAGGATACCTACTAATAGCCCATGTACGATGGTCAACGATAGGAAATTTTGACAAGGAAAATTGTTTTCTTGTCTTATTACTATTGCTTTGAAGTATTCGAGAGAATTTCAGCGAAGTATTGTTCATTTAATTTGTCTGCGGGTTTCATTGATCAAAGAGTTAATAGCAAGGGTCGGTCTCGGTGTGGATACGCATAGAGTCGTTATACTATCGAAGATTTTTGAAACGAAACTCTCTTCACCAAGTACGAAGGGATGGCCCAACCATATTTCTTTTTACCATTAATGAGATGATTTCTAGCCCACAAATTTCTATGATTTATTTAAGATTACAAGTTTCAAAAGCCTTCCTTTATTTCATAAACTCCATGTCCAGTCAAACATTTTCATATAAATTGGGACGGAGAGAGTATAATTTATGTAAGGAAAATAAATAATAAGTTAGATTATTAGATATAGTTACGTGACCAACTAATGAATAGAGAAATATAATTAAGTAAAAAAATAAAATAAGATTGACAGGTAACTATTTTAGTTATATAAATTAGAGGAAGAAATCGAGTTAATAAAAATTAATATGACAATAAAGAAATAAATTTATCAATAATAAGAGATAATTATATAAATAATATACTACTATATATAGAGAAATAGTAATTTTGGGGCCCTTAAATTTTTGGGGCCTAAAGCAAGTGCTTCACTTGCTTTAGGGTCAGGCCGCCCCTGCAAGTACGTCCTAGATCCGATCTTTGACATGTAAATAAATTTTAAGCACAAAAAATCTGCCTACAATTGTTATTGTCTTTCGTTCCGTGTTACGAACATCTATATGCAATCATTCACACGCTATGCTTCATAATTCAGTAAGATCGTTCTTAATGTGAGGTTATCAATAGTTGTATGAGTCAAATTGAGTTTGATGAGATCAACAGGGGTAATGAGAAAAGAATAAATTTGTAAAAAGTATATATAACTTAAATCCATAAAAATTAGGGGTAGATGAAAATGTGGAATAAAAAGAATATGGGTGGGTAAATAACACATGAAAAGGAGTTTCTGATTTCTAAGGGGCCCAAACAAAATTACATTCCTTGGTAGGGAACAAATATTGCAAGGCCCAGAAAGCCCCTAAACAATTTGTAAAAGTTCAATATATCCATTAGATATGACTTCATACTACAAGTCCTTCAAGTTCTCTATCCCAAGCCATCGGTCCTTGTACATGGGAGAGGGCACCTGCCACAATTAAAATTTAAAAGTATATATCATGAAAGATGCATTAGAAAACTTATATTTATCTAAAATAGACAATTATAATGACCCCCCTAGTGTCACAACAGGTCCTCTTGATCAGCTAAGATGCAACAATATCCATCATATAGATTTAGATTTTGGACTTGTCAAAATGCAAGAGTAAACAGATAGTAACTCTTCTCTAGAGTAAGAACACATTGCTGTTTTGAGAACTGGTTTTTCTCACCTGTGTACTGGAGATACATCTCCAACGCCCC